TGCATATTGGTTGTAGAGATTATGGTTTCATCTGGGCAGATCTGCACATAAAAATAACATATTTTAATCATTCACCCATCCCTCTCCTCACCTCATCTTCCTCCCTAGTTCCACATATTTTGGACAGACAAATATTAATATATTTTGATCATATTCATGCTCTGTAGTACTTTACACCCCGTCTTTCCCATCCCCTTCTATCTTTCCTCTTCTCTGATAATAGTCTCTTTTCTACTTTTTTGCCATCCTTTTTATATTCTACATATTAGTGAGAACACACAATATTTGTCTTTCTCATTATCACCTCCAGGTCTGCCCATTTTTCTATAAATGACAAAACTGTGTTCTTTTTATGGCTGAGTAAAACTCCACTGTGTATATTCACTCATCTGCCGATGGGCAGCTAGCCTGGTCTTTCAATAGTTTTATGAGCTAGGAGCTTTATTACCCCTACATTATAGACAGAGAATTAGGGCTTGGAGGGCTTAGCAAACTTGGCCAAGGTCACATATATCATTTTACCGCTCTGTACTTCTGAATTGTCCTGTCCTGAACACCAAATGCACAAGGCAAGGTAGTGGAGGGGTAAAGAGAGTTCCAGAAAGAGACACTCATTAGTGTGGTCACAGGGACAGATGGAGGAGCACGGGTTCATTTGGAGAACGGAAAGGCATCCGTTGCAGCGGGCTTACAGCTAGGGCTGCCACAGTGAGGGCTGGATCCTCAATGGTGAAGCTGGGGAGGAACTGTGTTCTCCCTATATCTTTCTCATTTTCCTTTTAGTAGGTTGGTACAGGAGCAACTGGAAAAACAGGACTTTGGGGGCCACAGCATATTTTATGCCCAATTTGAGTCCCTTCTGTGGAGAAGCTTCTGGCATAAACAGATGGAAAACATCAAAATCATTTTTACAGAGTGAATACACAACTGTCATTGACTGAATGCTTCTTCTAAACCGGACATGATCCCAAATACTTCACATACACTATCATTATAATCTCCCCAAGAAGCTTTAGATATAGGTTCTACAATTATTTTAGAGAGGAAGGAATCAGGAATCGAATGCTATGGAAAATAAGCACATTGTTTGTGGTAGCATAGCCAGTAATTGGCAAGGCCGTTGATGCCAAATGTATGTGGGCCCCCAGTGGTCATTGTCAATGTCCTATTCATGTGTCAGGGCCTCAAGCACCACTTCTCCTTAGCATATTGCAGTGAGCTCTGGAGTAATCTTCTTATGAGACAGCTTGTGGCAGCCGTTATGACAGGTGGCTATGCATCTCAGTGTGCCCGTAAAGAAAAGACAGGACTATCAAGCAGCCGAGGCTGTTGATTCCCTTTCATTGCGTGCAGCAGTGAAGATGAAGTATCTATATTTAAGTTGTGTGACTGTAAGATGTGAGCTATCACTGTCCGTTAACTTTGTGGTTTTCATTTCTTTCCAGTGCACAATTGGACTTGCAAAGACTCCGGGTAGCAAGGACCTGGGCTCTGAGCATCCTCCGTGACAGTTATGTACATTTTAAGTCATGGCTTCATGAAAACCCACGGCACATTTCTAAAGAGTCAGAACTTGATCTCAAACAAAACTCTAATTATAGGTGTGACTTTAAAAAGGTCAAACCACAACCTAGTTTTTAACTTTGCAAAACCTAGATGTCCCCTGGGAGCTCAAAGTGCTCAAGTGCGAAGCTGAACCTGAAGCAGTTCCCGCATCTGCTGCTTCCTTGTCTTCCTCGTGCCGCCAATGGTAATGCTGTTCCCTGCTCTTTCTCAAGGAAGAAATCTCAAGTCTTTTTTTCTTACCATTGCAACTCTTGGTTTTCCTTCTGCTCCTCCAAGGCTTCCTGCCCATTACCTTCTTCCTGTGTCAGTTTCTGGTGCACTCTCTGGGTCTGACCTTGACCTCTACCTTCCATCCTCTGCGCTCTTGCTGAGCCTCAACTCTGAATGTTTCTTTGCATAAAAGCTTCTGTAATGTTCATGGTCTGGAGGCTCTGAGAGCCAGGGCCTCTGTCCATGCCTTGTGTTCCTTCTCTTGTCATAAGGGCACTAATCCCTTTCACAAGGTCCCTATGCTCAGAATCTCTTAACCTCTCAAAGGCTGCACCTCATTACAGTGGGGCTTAAGATTTCAATAGGAGTTTTGGGGGTGAGCATGAACATTTAGTACATAACAGTCTCCTACCCATGCTTACTATCAAGAGCCATCCCAATGCAATGAAATCCATAAAGTCTGCAAACTGTCTCATGCTTCAAAAAGAATTATTTGTAAGCGTTTGTAATGCTAATACTTTGGGTCACACATATGAGAAAATTATACAGATATTTTATTATTTTCTAATAGGCTCATGCAAGTTTCTCTTTTGTTTCCTCAATGTCATCGATTAAATTGTGTCCTCCTCAAAATTTGTTGAAACCCTAACCCCAGTATCAGTGAATGTGATTTTATTTGAAAGTCTCTGCACTTAAAATCAAGTCAAGTTAAGGTCATCAGTGTGGGCCCAAATTCAAAATGACTTGTATCCTTATAGGAAAGGCAAAATGTCATGAGAAGCCATAGATCATGTAATGTCCAAGACAGAGATCAGGGTGACACAGCTGCCACACCAACATTTGTCCACAGCCACCTGGAATTAAGGAAGGACAGCAGAGGACTGCACTCTGCAGATTTCAAGGGGAGCACGACACAGCTCATGTCTTGGTTTTGTACTTCTAGCTTCTAGAACTATGAGACAGTACACTTTTTGAAGTCACCCAGTTATTACAGCTCTAAGAAATAAATGTCTACAGTTATTGTTATTTAGATATTCCCCAGATGCAAGGAAGAGGATATTTTAGGGTTATTATAGCACAGACCAGAAAAAAAGTTTTACTAATTGTTGAATAGGCACATGGCAGGGGCAAAATGGCTTTCACTTTAAGGACACAAATTCATCTATGCTTCCCAAGCAAAGGGCCACAGTGTTCTCTCCTTTTGGTTTCATTTGGTCATGAGGAAGCTATGCCTCTCTGCCATTTAACTTCCTTCTTCATGGCCATTTAAAGCAAAAGTGTGGACAGAGCATGCATGCAATCGTTAGCAAAAGTTATCAGTAGAGGGTGATATTCTGGATGACTTTGATTTTTTGCTTTAGTTGGAAAGTAATACGTATTCCTTTCATAAAGAAAGGTATTTTTTTTTCTTTAAAAAAAGGCAAATGTCTTCTGGCCCTAATATGAAATGACAGCACATATTTATTACTGATTGATTAAATCTGTCAGCATTTTGATCCACAGCAAACACAAATCGGGTTTTTCTAAAGCTCTTTGGGGCTGCTCACAAAGCAGGCTTTTTAGTCAATGTTTTGAATATATCAGGTTAAGGTATGTGAAATAGTCTTTCCAAGTGGGATTTAATATAATGCAGTAAGAACTGAAGATTTAACAGAGGATTTCGCTCCTAAGTGTGGGAAGAATCAGGTCATTGTTTATCATTCTTTGTAGGAAGCATTTAGCTATCATTATTGGCTAGACAGGTAAAACAGATGTTCCCTGAAGACATCAGCACCCCGTCCCAAATATCGGTGCAGAGAGAGTCTGAAAGGGGTGGCTTGGCAGCTCGCCGTGGTTGCTCTCACTGCCTTTCTTCTCCCCAGAGGTCCTGAGTCTTTCTTCTCTGCTAAAGTGCTGTGGCAAGGACAGCTGCTGGAATGAGTTATTTAGTGGATGGGGTGGTGGTGGGGAGGCATGAATTCAAGTGTTTCAGAGTTTGACCCCTACTGTACATGAACAGGGACAAAATTCATGAAGAAGACGAGCCAGTCACTGCACAAGAGTTTAAAGGAAGTAAATATAGGAAAAACAGTTGGTTCTACAAAGCACCATTAGGGAATTTTGTGTTGACAGACAGAGCTTCGGCCTCCTTTTTCCTGCCCATGCTCCCTGAGACACAGAATATGCAGGAGACCAGGCACACAAGAGTCAGACAAGCTGTTGTTCATTTGTTAATTAAACCTCCTGTTTGGTGACCTCTACCTGCCCACAGCTTGTTTTACAGCTTGTTTTAGAGATGTTATACTTTGTCTTGGGTGGAAGGTGGTGGAGACTTATAAGGACCCTGAGTCAAAGATGGCCTCTCTTCTGTTCTGCGCTCTGGGTGGGTGCAGGTGGGAGTTGGGGATAACTCACTTCTCCCAAAGATTTTTCCTTTAATTATGGATTGTTTGTGCAGTCAGACCATAAGTTCAGCAGGGTTCTCTCACCTCGGGTTTGCTATTTACTTTTCACATTGATAGTCACTTCAAAAGCCATGAACTCCACCATCGACATTTTAGAGTGCAGGAAAGGTGCTGTTAGAGTAGCTTGCATTTAATGCCTGTCACATTGTAGATGAAGTTATATAAGAAGAGTTTGCTTTGGGCACACAAATCAAAGTATCTCTCACTGATAATATTCTGGGGTTCCAATCCAGCCACAGCTCATGGATGGACTACCCAGCTGGTTCTATGTCTCCTCTAGAAACTTTATTCTAAAAATTATCACACTTATGATTACCTAGCATGCTCTTTAGAATCATGATGCCCAACCTATTTCCCATGTAAAACTGAATGAGAATCTCTGGGAGTGGAACCTGGACAGGACTTTTTAATAAAACCTCTGAAGTGAGTCCAACAAGCAACCAAGTTTTGGAACCACTCATGACTCCACAGTAACACTGCCTATGAATAGCCATTAATTTCATGTGGTCATTTAGATCTAAATAAATATCATTTTAAATCAGTTCCTCACAACCTGGCCTACATAAGTGAGTTCAAGGCTAGCCTGAACCACATGGCATGATGCTGTCTCAAAAAATAAACTAACGTTACTCCAAAAAGCTGAGTTCCTCAGTTACAATAACCAAATTTCAAGTGTTCAGTAGTCATTTGTGGCTAGTGGCTACCATACTGAACTGTGTAATGTTAAGGAACTTCCAACATCACTGAAACTTCTGTTGCATTTTCTAGGGTCTAGAATTCTAGACTTGCATCTACTACTTCAAGTCTGCATGTTTTCCTTATGCAGGGACCTTGCTAATCTTCTTTGTGTTGCTCCAGTCTGTACATTTGCTGCCAAAGCCAGCACTAAAACTTTAATCTGAATGAATAATGAATGGCTACACTGCCAATAAAAATTTTGAGCAAATATTCTTGCCCTAGAGTTTTTTTTTTTTTTTTTTTTTTTTTAATCTTCTCACTCATCTTGGAAGGGGTCAAGTTACAACTCGCAGGCTAATTAGAGTCACTGAAGGTTTTCTGGCCGAAGCTGCCCCTTACCTGGGTAAAAGAATCTGTTGTGCAGTTTGAAACAGTCATGTGTTTTCTTGAGCCCACCCCCACTGAATGCACTAAAAGAAATGGTCCCTGCAGAATAAATTCTTGGGCTCAAAGTCTTGCAAGTTTATTTCTCCAGATCTCTTTGGGATTTTACTTTGGAAGTCCACCTCTTTTAAAAATTCCTGTTCTTTAGCCTCAGTCCTTGGTGCTATAGGAAGCATATACACATGTCTCCCTTACCCAACTCTGCTCATCAGCCTGAATCAACTCATCACCAAAAACACATTTCCTCTTGAACTCAGTAATGCAAATTGTTAAATGCCATTTTTCTTTGGAAAAATTAGATATTTAAGTTTGGGCTTTCAATAAGTTACCTGAATTTACCACAATGTATCTATTTAAGTATTTGATTATAAAATGCTCCCCATAGCAGGATGATAGAATGAACCCTCACAGGGGAAAAACACAAAGTGTGGATACTGTGGCTCACTTGGAAACAGCATAGCTTTGATAATTTGATTTATTTGAACTCACCTCACAGAAATAGATGTACCCCAAAGACATTTTGGGGGGTACAGTAGGTAAAGAGTACTAGAGAAAGGATGCTCTTTGTCTAAGATGGATATGAAAATGTTTTATTTATTATAGATCTGATTATTGAGTTTTATGATCCCTAAGGTTTATAGATCAATGCTTTCATAGAAATACATATCTAACCAAACAACATGCCCACCAGTGAAAAGACTGGTACCAGTTTTGATAAAATATCAACAGGGAAACAACTTATAAATGTTCAATAGAATATTTATTACCTGAGAAAAACAAGCAACACAAATAAGAACTTTGTTTTGCAAGAGATGAAGCTAAGAATTAATGGATGGTCCTTCAAAAAATCCTATTTTAGTAATTTTTACCCAAGTAACTCTGTTGTGATTTTCTATGCACTTCATCAAACACAGGCATGCACATGTACACACACACACACACACACACACACCCCTTATGGTGAGTTCTTTAAAACTCTGAAAAGTACCATGGTGCCATTTATGTATTCTTTAATCGTGGTCATCCTGGGCAATTCTGAAACTTCTCCAATATTTAAGTATTCATATATTCCCTCTTCAGTATTCAATATTAATCACTGCAGCAGATGCAAGATAGGACATGACTCTTTGTTCTTTAGGAATAAATAATATACTCCTTAATGGCCCAAAGGACCTATATCTATATCATGTATATCTATATTCAAATTCTTTGAGACAAGATTTTGAGATTTGAGAAAAAGGAAAAAATGGCAAGTGAAACGTATTTAGAGGCAGTTTTTCAATTCCAAGGCCATGTAACTTCTTTCTTTATTTTAGGAGATGACGGTTGCTACTCCCAACTTCATTCTCCGAATTTCACTGCTAAATCTTTAGAGCAGTTTGTAGTTGATACCGGAAAGGCTCACCCATGCAGGCTAGAACTGGCAGGAGGATCCCCCGGTGGTTATCTACTTGACACGCGGGCTGTAATCAGATGGGTTTTGTTGTCTAGTCTAAGGATTATCTAATTTATCTCTGAGTTGTTCTGTGAGATTGCTGGAGCCCAGCATCCTGATGAATATACAAAAGGAAGTTTGAAGTGATTTGTGGTAGTAATTCTTGCACACCTGTGTCTCAATGTGACTCAGTCTTTTAAAATGCCTCCAATAATATTATTATTTTTTTAAGTGTCTGGAAGGTAGTGTCTATGTTTGCTAAAGATTGCTTACGTTTGAAAACAAGTTCAACATGTCTTTTTTACAAAAGCAAATGACAGCAGCAATAAAATAGTCCAAACCCATGTTAGATCCTGCTTCCTGTTTCTCACAAGATAACTACAGCAGGGGTGGTAGAAAAAGCCTATCTATGGTCCCAAATCTGATTAATTGGAACTGGCTGAAAAGACCATAACTAAGCACAGAAATAAGGAGTGTTGAGATCAGTTATTGATTTTTGAGGTAGACAAGAGGGGAAGATATGATTGTGTGCATTGCAGATAGTTCCAATCTCTGGAGTAGAGAGCTAAGCATCTATACAGTATAATGGGAGATAGGGCAGCATGAGATCATTGGGTCCATGTTGAAAGAGACCTTAAGAAGGCTGTCTGTAATGTCTTGTGCAGGAGAGAGTTGTGAAAGTGTCTTGGACATAAGACACATTTGATCAGACTGAACTCTTAGGAATCCAACTTGGCTGTGTGTATAGAGTACCAGGAGAGGATAACCAATGATCTTGCAGCCTAAATTAAAAAAATGCAGGGACAGGACAGATGTAGAAACACCAGAACTATCTTGAAGCCAATGGAAATCATCAGATCTTGATTTTTATTGACTGAGAGGGTGTTTCAATTTGTAAAGCAGATTGGTATTAATTTAGAAAGTTTTAGTTTTCTTTTTGCCTGTTGTTGCATAAAATGATTATCACACCAGGAACATTAAAATGTTTAATAAAACAAGACTGCTGAAAATAAACTAAGGAAAGTGAGAAGGAGGAGCTAGAGGAGGAAGAGGAGCTTGGCCATATGTGTACAGTAAACTGAACATGTCTGTACATAACACTACTTGTGATACAACATAAGTAATACAACTTTCATGACTACTTGTAATTCAACTTTCATGACTCCCCAACATTTGGGGAGATTTGTACAGCAGAGTCCTACCTGAGACAGAAGCTGAAGCTTATCGGGTGGTTCCTAAATCTAGCGGCAGAGCTATAACCCCAACCCAGGACTCCCTTTCTCTGAAATTTATTCCTGTCTCATTTCTCGATGTTGCCTCTCATCACTGAGTATGCTAGAAAACACTCATCCTATGCCGCAGTTTCATGTTAAGACCTGCATTTCTTTTTAAATAGGTTCTTAGATTGGAATTGAGTCTTTGGTTTGGCTGGGCATGCAGTGTACCACCCTTACTTACTGATGCAGTGGGCAAGTCACTCAACACGACAGACCTACTTAGCTCTGTGCCTTAGAACTCACCTTGTTTCTGGGTCTGGGTAGTCTTGACAACTGGACAATGGACACTATCATAAATCTGCAGCACCTGGTATTGTTACTATAGACTAAAGAATTACTGTGAGTAACACTAACTGACATGAGGAATCAGCCGCACCTATGCGTTACCTGGGCAGTGGGACTTTGGGATGCTGGACTAGCCCAGGGGGTGCCTGACGTGCTAGGTAACACCTTCAAAGTGCAGGAGGATTTGATGCTTTGGGGGGTAGATTTTTGGTCACTTAGAGGCAGTAAGTGGAGAGGATTGAATACACAAGTGGTTAACCTTTGTTCTAGGACACAGAAGATTCATACAGCCTTTTTGGGTATGTCCTGAGATGGTAAGAGCTCTTCTTCTTACTGTGTACCCTCTCTTTTTGTGCCTTTTCTTTTATTCTTTCACTTACCTTTTTGGGTTTTGTTGCTTTAAGTGTGTACCCTTTCACCCTATTCCAAGTTGTAACATATAAAGTTGTAACACATAATCTTTTGGTGCAAATTCTGCTTTCTATCCATCTTGGGCTGAGACACTTTGTATCTCATCTTTCTACTGATAGCACCTAGATATTTAATCCGTTTGTTGGATGAAATGTCTGGGATCTTAGCCACGGGGTGCAGACTCTTTCTGCTGCATTTGGCTTTGACATTCACATCACGCCCAACCTCATAACCAAGTACTGATCTGGACAGCTGTGTCTTGGCAGATGCTGGGTCCCTGATCCGGTAGGCCTGGCAGTGACAGAGGAGGGTATGATGGACTCATGGTGCAAAATCTCTTACAAGCTTCAATTATTCTAGAAGCAAGGTTATGGAAGAACGAATCAGAGAAAAGGGATAGGAGTTGAGTTGAGTGTGGGCAGTAGTCCCGGGCATCCATGGAGGTCTTACAGGTTGAAGACTTTCAACTACTCATCTGGAAACAGCATTTTCCATTTCTTTTTTGTGACTTTTGTTTTCTCTCTGCATTACTGTCTTTCTTTTCATATTTTTCATCCTGTCTCATTCTATATTTGTTAGTTCAAAATATAATCTCTTTATACTTTACAAATTCTTAATCCAGTGACATTTTTTGAAAGAGTGACTTTAATAAAGAGGATTAGAGAGGAAACTAAAATATACTTCCATAATTAATGTGCTACCCATATGTTAACTGCTTCTTCTTTACATGCTCTTGTGGGTCATTCAGAAAACCAAGAAATGAATCCGATGATGGTGAGTTCTCCTTCTACTGCCAGACTTCCAGGATTTCTGATCCAGAGCCATAGTTGGGTTCTGACTGTTGCAAGGTGGAATTGGATCCTGGGTTTAAATCTGCCTCTGATATTCACATATTACCTGAGTTGAGCATTTGGTTTCTTAGTTTTTCATTTGTTGTAGAGAAACTATTGTAGAGAAACAACTAAGTAAATTTTGTTGAAGTTTAGGGAATATAAAAGAAATAATGAGTAAATACGGCTTTGCATATGTTTGCCAGTGCCTTGGGCTCTGGAATTTTTGTCAGGAACAATTGAGATAGATAAGGATAGTAATTGAACTGTCCCTTTTGTGAACAAAGTGGACATGTTTTGGTAAAATGGCTAAAGTAGAATTCCTCAATATTAGAATTACTGCCATTTTCAGCAAGATGCATCTGTAGTAGAGATGTCTAATATGCATAGGAGGATGTTGAGTAGCACCTCTGACCTAAGTACTGGATGCCAGGAGCATCCGTTATTTCTGGCGTTGCATCCCAAAATGTTGTTCGACATCACTACATATCCTTTCTTGACCAAAATTCCTCTTAGTAAGAATC